CAGCGCAGCGAAGGGCTGCGCAGCTGGCTTCCTCCAAGTTTACAGTAAAACAAACTGGTGGTGTGATCAATGGTCATTTACAACTATTAATACTATTACTATTATTAGCATTAGTCTATATTTTGGTTGAAACTAAGCCAAGAAAAAAGAAAAAAAACTTAAAGAATAATAAAAAAATATATAAATAAAATCGAATTTTTAAAATTATTTTCGATTATGGAGACTGGACCGGACATGATCAAGTCGGGGAAATAAGCTTCAAGAAAAACTGATTTGAATAGAAAAAAGGCAGTATTTTCGCTAAAAGGATATTGTTTTCCCAAATGTGGCTTCAAAGAGTGGGATGTTTTTTCAATACCGATAATTTGGTACCAAGTCGATGGAAAAATGATAAACAATTGACGGGGACGGTATAAAACGGGACGCAGAGAAATCACAAGTGTCCCCTCTAACGTTTTTTTTCTCTGCTAAGGCTACAAAGAAACATGTACCAAAACGGACATTCCTACTGTTGTGTGTGGCGTATAGGAGGATTTTACTGATTAGAGTGCTCTTTACCTCCTATCTTGTCTGACCTCCAGCAACAAAACAGAACAGAAATTCTCAAATAACCTGTTCTTATCTAGCCAAGTAGAGAATGATATAGGTCAAACCATTACAACACGGTTCAGCCTTTGGACTGATTCAAACACTGCTTTGTTGACAGGAAGCTCAAGCACAAACCATATATTCAAAGTCTAATTTTGCTCACAACTATATGTGTGCGCCCTGTGATCAGTTTATTCTGTAATGTTTAAAGGTCAGGGTTAAACTCAAAATAGACAAAAAGACGCCAAGCTTGTCTGGAGTGATTATAATGTGTGCAGTGCAGCCAGAAATCATAGAGAGAAGCTGTTAATGATCCATAAGCGCTAAAAGACAAGCTCTGCTGGAAGGAGATCCCAAACTGGGCTGTGCGCGAGGAGAGCTTGTGTGGGCAAATGCCAAGCGGACAGAAATGCAGAGGCACTCATTTGCACTGCCACAGAAGGGCCTTGTAAGAGTCCAACAGCGTTTAGCATAGACACAGCATAGATAAAAAGCCTAACCTTGAACTCCAAGTGTTTTTCTATTTCAAACTAGGATATAGCCATGTTGGAGCCCAGCCATACAATAACTTACCTCTGCAAACCATGTTGGCTATGTTAAGCATTGTGAACGGCTAACTTTAGAACATGCCCTGGCCTCAGACAACCCTAGGACTCCATTGACTTCTACAACCTTGAGGGGAGGTACAACCCAGTACAGTAGACCTAAAAAAAGGTTAACAACTAAAGAAATGAGTAGCCTCTTTGCTTGCTTTGCAACGATTGGAGAATATGGACTTCTAAAATGGTATCAGACCAGACTTTGCAGCTTTGTAGGGCTAATTACCCTGTACAGGTGGGTAGAGCTGTCTATAATCTTACATACCAAACATACCGGCCCTTAATACTTTAATCAGATTAGCTTCTCTTTCAGTTGAGAGACCTATGGATATTAACATTATAAAACAGAATACAAATCATGAAGGAGATAGCTAAAGTTTCAAACAAGACTTTTAACACTATATAATCTCCAAGTGATAGCATGGGCGTTGTGTCCTTGTAGGGGTCAGTTTGCGTAAATCATTCCTCGAACCACGACCACAAAGAGGCACTACTTGTATCTCTCCATTGAATAATTTGTAGCTAAGTGTGTGCAAAGGGGAGATAGTAAGAGCAAACTTGAGTCACGCCCTTCTGGGAAAGACATGACCTGTTAGGCAGTCTTGCTTAGTGAAAGCGAGTCAGCACAGTCCCCTAACTTTAACAAGAGGTGATATTGGACAGAGGTTATTTGCACACTGAGCACTTGAAGTCAACAAATAACTGAAAAATGGTCTGGAACAGGTGGCCTTTTCTCACCTGTTAGCAGGACCAATTGAAAGACAAGGCTAAATGCATAGGAATTAAACCGTTTCCAATTAAGAACTTGAATTTCAAAATATGTTTAACTTCAAGGTCCTAATAGTCCTGCACGCAGATTTTTAAATCTTTTTCAGTGTTTGAAGAGAGAACTGTTCTCTGGTTTCAAGGGTCGGACGTGTTGCAAAAGTAGTTTCTTCATAGTCTGCTGTTACTGAATAAATTCCTTTAAAAACTATTGCTTCAAAAAGACTCATGTTCTAACATTACAACAGAACTATTGTGAACTCAGTTAGGGGTCATTAAGGGAGTGAAATAAGTGGGAAGTGTTAAAGCTCTTCACAAATTAAATCAAAATCATACTTTTTGATGTTGCTAAATATACGTTATAGAACATGCACTGTTATTACTGTTAGCAAACCGTCCAATTAAGTTATTTAAAAACGCTGACATCATTAATCACTACCATATTAAAGGTTAAATTGTAACATAACAACACTGCATTATGTGAATTGCTCAGTGCAATAATATATGAATTTGCCAAAGGGATTTTAATATAATAACTAGTTGTGCTGTTAAAGACCTAGCTTACTTCTGTAAAAGGCAAGTAGGCTAAGTCTTGTACAGCATGAAGACATGATTAGATGTACTTGATTAAAAGACATCACACTATAATTCCAAGAAGGGCAAATGTATCTTCTTCCTGGTACAGCGAGAACTTCCTTGTGCCACATATTCAAATACTATACAATTAAGTCAAAATCCTGTCCTACTAGTGATTGAGCCTCAACTAGATACACGCACACTATCACATCTGTAGATACGGATATGTTATGTTATAACTACCAATTACATTAATACAAATCCTTATTCAACAGTTTAACCATTAATATAATTTATTTAAGGCAAAATAACAACTTGCAGCTGAAAGCCCAAGCTTTGATTAAACGTCTCTGAACTGATGATACCAAATCAAGTTCATCCAAAAGTTTGTAGAATACAAACTGACAAGTATATTGCCAAACAAAAACGCGATTTGATTAGTTAGATAATTCTTTCATTAAGGAATGTGTCCAATGTGTCCAGTAATCATGAACATAACAATTCCTTTACCATCCCATGTTGTGCCAAACATTTTCAACACACATTAGTCTAACTCTGCATCTTCTTTCAACATGCACCGTTTCCACCACACTTTGTCCAACTTTGAAAAAATACCATGGCACGGAGAGACCAGAGATGTAGAAAAACATTGTCGTCATCGAGTGAGGAAAAAAAGATAAGAGTGTGGGAGACAAAAAGAAACGGTGAGAAAAAGAGAACAAGGATCGGGGGAGTGGGAGAGAAGGGGAGAGGGGTCAAGCGTACGGAGGAGTCATTGTGCAGTGGCATATCATGTGAGAGTCACATTGGAGAAAAGCTGCAAGTAGCTCATGGGAAAATGGGCCAAAGTAGAACAGTTAGGCGGGCAAATCCAAAGTATTAGGCCTGCAGATTTTCAAAATGTATTTATTTCGGATAAGTTCAGATAGATTCAAGTAGCTACTTCTACTACAGACACACTTAAAACTAAAGCAGAACTTTTATTGTTCCTGCTTGATTCAATAACTAGTTAAACCTGTTATACTGTGGTTGTTATTTAAAATCAAATTAATTCCCATTGGCAGAACAAAGAAAGAAAGGCGACAGTTTGGCTTTTCACCTACTGTTAGTCTGAACAGGTTTTTTTTATCTTCAGTTATGAGTAATATCACACTGTATCACCATTGATAAACTTCCTCCACAACCATATAGCTCCAATGTTACCATATGTTGTTTAAAAAAGTCCCTAAAAAGCATTTTGAGCTTTATATTTTCACCTAAATATAGACCAGTATGTTGGCTTGTAAAAAAAACAAGACTAGACTGGAGGCAACATTTATGATTGTTTTAGTTATCATATCTTATCTCTACAGTTGAAGCCTGTCAAGGTCAGTCCACGAAGGGACGGTGTAATGTCTACCTACTGACACGGTTACCCCTGGGGGTCATTCAGGGAAGCTAGCTGCTTTAACAAATGCTGCAGAGCCACTATTTCAAGTATACTACGTCATCGAGTGGCGCCGAAGTATTGAATAGTGAGCGTTACTATAATGAGAGGAGAAATGACTTCAAACAACAACGCCTGGTGCACGCTTTGTGTAAAAGGCTAGGACACGACAGCGTTAGCATTACATTCATAAGTGTAACACAACTTAAACAGGTCACACATTTGCCATGTGATAACAATCTCTCTGAGGTAAAACGGAGCTGTTCTTCTTCCAGTCACGCTAACGTTTATATTTCAGTACAATTTCACATCTTAGTTAGAGCTTAGCTGTATGTGAGGGGTAAAAACTCTCACCTTCTTTTCTCAGAACAGCTTTGACCCACTGACTTCTTCTGTGACAGCCTGTGACACGAGGTTCAACTTGCTGCTTTCGATGTAGTTGTCTGAGCCGGTGTCCTTGAGCATGCGTCTAGCAGCGATGCATATGATTGGACAGCTTTTACTACAAGGCTACGTGACACGCCCCCTACACGACACGCCCACCTGACACGACACTACGGTGGCTGAGAGACCTTGATACCGTACATGGGAGATTAAAAAAGAATTGCAAATGTTACTGTGGTATTTTAAATTGCAACTTAACTTAGGCAAATTAATAACCTAGTCTACCCGTTTGAGACATAACACTATATGACTTTCAGCACAAATCATTTTGTCTAATTAATAAATTAAAACAAAAAGGGGGCTTACTAAACTTTATTTTAAATGTGTTAGTACATATAAAATAGGTAATAATGAGATCATCTATTCATTATGTTTGTCTAACTGCTACACATGTATTTATACATAAATGTAGATATTTATGAACATCTAAATATAGTTGTTAAAGGTTTTAAGATATAAATAATCACGTCATGGGGTCATTAAGGTGTCAAACAGGTTCATGTAAGGTATAGGCCTACTATAACATGAAAACATGATTTTTACTAACTAATTTCAGAATCTCACATTAATCTGTAGTTTGGTATATTATTGATATGGGCTGGACACCCCTTCACAATGATCTTCATTGACTTTTTTTTAGACCAAATTAGGAGGCCAGTCAGGCCACTAATGAGCTTAATCATTCACATTGATTATTATTACTTTATAAATTAAGAGTACTAGGGGTCTATTGCAAAACCTTTGAAGGAATCGTCATGCATTCTGAATGTTTATGTACTTTAAAAACAGGCATCATGGCTAAAGATCCTGTTCTTGTTTAAGATTATTCATACTAATTTGTGAATTTAACATCCATATCACTCTTCAAAACTGAAACTAAAACATTTTTTTTTTAAAGCATTGCAGGCAAGCTCCACGTCAGTGACTACTTTAATTTCTTCCATCAAACTTTAAAAATGGCAAACAGCATGTTTTTAAAGATGTAATCTTTTAAGAAACAAAATATCAACTTTGAACATAAGGGTTTAAAAACACGTTTTCAATCCAAATAAAATTGAAACATAAACCTATTTGTCATTTCAAAATTCACTATTATTGTCTGCGTGAAAGGCACAGTATAATACATATCAACATTCAAACATTACAAAGTTGTACAATGTATACCATGTGCTATGTCTAGGATTAAGTATGATGAGACTTTTCAGCCCGCGACCCCCAAAATAACAGTGCCAGAGACTGGCAACCTCCGAAGGGATAGTGATGCCCAGTGTGCTGGGCAGTGTGGCGGCAGAGGGAGCCGAGGGCACCACCGGAGGAGAGGCGAGCGATGACAGCAGCATCACCGTGGTGCAGATAGGGCAGAACGGGGAGTACCTGGGCACGGCTCGGCTCCGTGTAACAAGTCCCCTCAGTCTGTGCGGGACTCCCACGCTGTATCCAGTTCTTATTATACATCCGTGCTGTAGTACAGTTAAGTGAACACAAGAGAGCACTGTTCACACGTGGTAGGGACACACAACGGAAGGACAAAATAGTAACACAAATGCCCCAATGCTTGACCAGTGCAAATCAAGCATATAGTAAAACAAAAAATAACTTGAGTTACGGGGTATGTACCTATGTACATTAAATTATAAAAAATAAAGATATAATACTGGTTTGTTCTGAGCTGAATATATCATAAACAAACGCAA